AGAACTAATAGTAGAAGAAGTCTTAACTTTAACAAGTAATCCACAGAGTATTTCTAGAGTAAAATAATTTGTGGATATAATCAATACTAAAATTTTGAGAATAGTAATTATAGCAAATATTAATTATTAATTTCAACCTGACCAAAACTGGAAGATAAGAGTTCAAATAATATTTAATGATTTATTTAAAAATTATGATAATCAATTTGATGAATCACAATTCATTAAATATTATTACTTTGAACAATTATTAAAAGAAATACCTAGATAACATTCTCAAAAATTAATGAAATTACAAAGAGAAATGGCATAATCAAGAGGAATTACTTTAATCAAAAGATACTTTCTTCTTGGAAAATGTATTTATCAGCTATTAGAAAAATATGGACTTAAGAAAGTATATAACTTTTAATAAATTACTTATAATGATCTGATACATATAAGAAATAAAGAAATTAAAGAAATTTTGAAAAGAATTTAATAGTCTTGCTGGAGCTTGATCTTACTTAAAGGGATCAAATACTATGATAATAACATAAATTTCTTTAATTTCATAATTTTTTAAACTTAGAAGATTTGGCCAATCAAATAATCTTTAGAAGATATGTGATTTCAAATAATATAATTAGTATATTAGTTATAAATTCAATTATAATTTAATAATGTTCTTGCAATATTCTTGCAATATTTCTGTAACATTCTAAGATTATCAATAAATAATTAGTTCCAAAATCAACAACAGTTTACAAACAGTTCAATAATGATTCAGAAATACTTTAGAAATGATTTATTAATGAATTTCATTTATTTTTATCTTTTATCTTTTCTTTTTAGAATATATATCTTATCTTTTTATTTTATTTCATCATTTGTATTATTATTTAATCTACCATATGTATCTTATCTCTTATTTTTACTTATTTATTTATTGATACTTTGTCCTAAAGATTGTAATTGTAATCTAGAATAGTAAATGAGTTTAGATAGAAACTTATAAAATCTCAAAGATATATAAATATCTCTGCTCTGAGATCTAAAATAAATATACTTGAATAGCAATAATTCAATTGTCCTTTGAAAACACTTGAGTTATACTTATCTTGTAATTTTTCTTTGATTTTTATCTTGATATCTTGCTTTCATTTACCTCTTCTATCATAATAGATTATATTCTGATTATTTACAAGTCTTTCTTATCTAAAAAACTTAGATAGTGAATGCTCTCCACTTAAAATAAGCCAAGTATATTTTATTTGATTTAGAAGATTCTTGTAAGCTTTCTCATATATAAAAGCTTAGTTTTGTTTTGATATATATTCTTTATTTACTTAACAGTTGAAAAAATACTGTTAGAGGATTTAGTCAACATATTAAATCTTTTATTTTAGTTATAGTATTTATTATTTAATTTTTTTTTATTTAACTATTAAATTAAATTATCTATATATATATTATAAAATTTTTTTATATAATATTTGATTATAATTCTAACTTTTTACTATATAATTATATATATAATCTAGTTATTTTTTGAGATTATATACTTTAATCTAAAGTAAATAAATATAATTTTTAAGATCTTGTAATAAGTTAGATATTATTATATTAATTTATATATTTATAAGTAGTTTATTATAAATATTAAATTTATAGTTAATTTTATTTAATTTATTACTTTATTTATTAGAGTTTGTAATATTAAATTAAATTAATTATATTAGTTTTATTTTTTTATTTAGAAGATTTTGTCATAAATAATTATAAATAATAAGTTAGCTATAATATTATTACTATAGTAACATAAATTTTTTTAATTTAATAATTTTTTTTAGTTATATAAAAATTCTTTTTTTCTTTCACTTCATAATTTATCACATGATTTAAATTATTTTGATCTAATTATTTCATTATTATTATTATTTATATTTATTTTCTAAGTCTATAATTATTTTTTAAATATCAGATTTATTATATTCTAAATTTGAGATTTACTTTTTTAATTATAAATATATTATATTGATATTAATATTTTATATATATAATAAATTAATTGATTGTAGATATTTTATGAAATAATTATATTTAAAATATCAATTTCAAATATTTTTTCATATCTTTTCATATTTTTCTATATCTTTTCACATCTTTTCATATTTTTTAACATCTTTTTATATCTTTTTATATTCTTAAATATCTATTTTTAATTAATTATTAGTTTTTTTTATAATAATATATATATTTAGATAATAATACTATATAATTTATATAATTAAAAAATGTATAAAAAGATCTGCTCTCTCAGATAAAATAAATTCAGACTTGAAAAACATAAATTTAATAATTAATTCTTTTTAAATTATATTAGTACATCTCAGTAAAAGATTTTTATTTAAAATAAGCTATATTTTTGATTTATATTTTCATATATATTAATTATTATATTTTTTAATTGATTATTTTAATTTTAATTTTTATTTATATGAGTTATTATATTTTTTAGTTATAATTTTCTTTAATTAATAGTGATTTTACTTATTAATCATCATAAATTTTTAGTTTTATTAATTAATTATAATAATTTTTCTGATTTATATTATTCTTTTCTTTTATTATTTTTCTTTAAAAGATAATATCTATAGATATTGACACAGGTCTTAGAAATCTTTATTATTATTAAAAGTATAATTTAATTCCTCTTTCTTTATTCTTTAATTATTTTAGTCTCTTCTAATCCTATATCATTAAGATGAATTCAAGTAAAAATTCACTTACCAATTTACCATAACAATATCTCTTATATAAAGAATAATCTTTTAAATAAGCTTGAACTTTAACTAATTCAAGAAAAAATTTATTATATAATAAGAGTTAATTTTTAGTTTTTTATTACTTACTGTAAAGTTCTGATAATAAGCAATCTCCTAAAATAAGCAATTTCTTTTTCTTCAAATTTAAAAGTCTTAAAAAAATTAAATAAGTAACTTCTATTTGTGATAGTAATTTTTAATATATAATAATAAATATTTTCTAAGTATTTTGATAATTAATAATTAGATTCAAATGAAAAAATTATTAAAATAATCATCTCAATAAGATAAATTCAATAAGCTATAGAATATTTAACTTGATTTATTAGTTATCAATATATTTATATTTATTTAAAGGACTCAAAATAAGTAATTCTCCTAAAATTAACTTTAAGAATAATAATATAGAGGATTATTTATTATTAGAACTTTATAATATATAATATTTAATTTATATTTTTTTGATTTTATATTTCTTTAATTCTTAATTATAGTATAATAAAACTAATATTGCAAGAATATAAGATAAATCTTTTATTTAAAATTATTAATTAAATTTAATTAGTATTTATAAAAAAGTAAATAATTAGAATTAATTATAAATAAGTATAAGAAACTTATTTTTTAATTATTATATTTTTGACAAATAAATTGATATAATAAAATATTAAATAATTATAAAATTACATATCTATCTCTTCTTATTCTTATAATAATCAAGTTATAATATAATTAAGACTTTATAAGAAATTTATTATATAAAATCTAAAAAATTTATTTATTTAAAAATTTAAAAGTTAATCAAAATTACAAATTTTTATATAATATTCTAAAAAATATTCTATTATATAAATTTAATTTAGAAATTTTCTAGATTATAATATTATTATATATAATAAAATATTATAAATTTTTTATTTTTTTAAAAATATATTTATTAAATTTAAAATAATTTGCTTATATAAATTAAAATTTTAATTTTGCAAATTGATAATAATATAGTTAATATAAAGAATAATAATAATAATATTTTTTTATTAAAATTTATTAATATTTTAATAAAAAATTATTTAAATATTATAAATATTTAATATTATATTCTTTAGAATAATAGAAATAAAATTTTCTAAGTTTATAAAGCATATTAATATAATAATATTTTGTGAAATTATATATTAAAGATGATAAATTGGAGAGTTATCCTAATTAAGAAGTTATAAAAAATTATTTAAAAATATTTTTTATAAGTAAGTATGAAAATAATTTTATAAAAATATATTTAAAAATATAAAAAAGATATTTATAATTTTAAAAAAAATTTTAGTTGATATTTATTGAATAAATATCAGTTAAAAAAGATTTAATTTTGATAAATCTATAATAAAATATAATAAAATATAGTAAAATATAATAAAAATATTATTTATATTATTTTTATTATAAAATTTATCAAAATTAAGTCTTTTTTTAACTGATATTTATTTAATAAATATTAATTAAAATTTTTTTTAAATTACAAATATCTTTTTTATATTTTTAAATATATTTCTATAAAATTATTTTCATACTTGCTTATAAAAAATATTTTTTAAATAATTTTTTATAGCTTCTTGACCAGAATAATCTCCCAGCCTATCATCTTTAACATGTAATTTCACAAAATATTACTATGTTAATACATTTTGTGATCTTAGAAAATATTATTAAAAAATATAATATCAAATTTTTATAAATTTTTAGTAATTTCTTATTAAGTTAAAGATGAAAAACATGGCTACTATTACTTTTTATATTGATTATAATATTTAAAATATCTTTTTTTAAAAAAAATTTTAATTTAGTTTTTTTTAGAAAATTATTATTTTAATTTAGATTATTTTTATTTAATATAAAAAAATTATAAAGTAATTTTTATATAAATCTTTTTATACCAAATCATAATAATTAATTTTTTTATCTATTCTTTGAATTTGATTATTAGATCTTTGAAATTGAAATTGTAATTGTTTTAGTTATTTTGATTGAATTGAACAGAAAATAACATTATTAATTTTCATATTATCAAAATAATTAACTGAGAATTAAATAATGAAAAAATCCTATTGGACAAAAATCTCGATCATGCGATTCGAGTAAGATTATGCAAAACACATGTCAATCAAAGTTATTTTCATCTGAACTTTTCAGTTTGCAATGGCTCTCTCACAGAAAATTGCAGCCGCAAGCATCAATCGCACGTCAATAACTGCACCCTATACTGTGGCTGCAATTAGAAGGCTCTTTGAGTTCTCAAATGGTGTTCCAGCGGACCAACACCAGATTACTCCTTCACCGAGTTGGGCCACTGGTACAAATAGACGCACTGATGGTTCTTTACTTTCAAAAACCGTCATAAATGGTATGTTGCAACAGTTGTCGAACAATTAGATTTTGATTTTGATTAAAATGTATTTTTTAGGCAGCAAATTGACTCGATGTGTTTTAAGGATATCCTGGTTCACAAACCTCATACGCAATTTTTGCAAAAGACAAGCACAACTTTTTATTCTATACGACTTGGATTAGATTAGAGATATATAGACTAGATATAAAACTTCCATCTATCTAAAAACTTGATGATATTATGACGGATTTATTGTTAATAGTAATAATTTTTTAAACTATTGTTGCTAGTTTCACCCTTGATCCAAAAACGTTTTTCATCTTCCGGTTCAGGCGTAGTGGACACTTCCAGATCAACTATAGTTCCTGATTTCTCCAAATACAAAAAATACCGTAGCGGTGACTACTCCAATCGGACTTTCACCTATCTAATGGTCGGTGCGACTGGTGCACTAACCGCTGCCGGTGCCAAAGCAACAGTCACCGATTTCCTAGTAAACATGTCTGCAGCGTCGGATGTATTAGCAATGGCGAAGGTCGAGGTTGATTTGAGCAAGATTCCCGAAGGAAAGAACGTCACAATCAAGTGGCGTGGCAAGCCGATATTTATAAGGCATAGGACGCCGGATGAGATTGCGGAAGCGAGTAGTGTCGATTTGGCTCATTTGAAGGATCCACAGACTGATGCTGATAGAACAAAGAAACCCGAGTGGCTTGTTATGCTGGTGAGAACCCAGTCAGATTTTCAACGTGATTATTATGTTGCTTCTATATATTCACTTTATATTTCATTTACTTTACAGGGAGTCTGTACTCATCTGGGTAATTAATCTCTTAAAATATTCCGCGATGGGAATCAAAAAGAATAATTTTTTATTTTACTGAAATCATTTTTTTATTTAGGATGTGTACCAATCGGAGAGTCTGGTGATTTTGGCGGTTGGTATTGCCCATGCCACGGATCCCATTACGATATATCTGGACGTGTCAGGAAAGGTCCTGCACCTTTAAACCTAGAGGTTCCTCCTCACGATTTCCCTGAAGATGAACTACTTGTTATTGGATAACATGTTTATCAGCATAGACAATCTTTTTATATAAAATCGCTGTTTATCAATATATTAATTATCAGAAATTATGTCATAATTTATTGGGAATAAAGTCACGATTTATTTTGGTCACGTCAAAAAGCATCGCTGTTTTGCACGCGTCATTAAATTTATGGACGGACTACTTTGCAGTTTAACACTAAGACCAAGAATTGAAGCAGCTGTAAAAAGATGCAAGTGCTCTTTTCACTAGTCTTGCGCTTGTTTTTTTTTTGACAGTATGTCTAGAGAAAATTGAATATATTTACACCCGATGATATTATAGCCAGTTTAAAGACTTTCACCGATATAATTCACTTGTCACAAAACGGACTGACCAAAAAACTCCGAATATCTTCACAAGACGCTTTGGAGCTGGTACAATGTATATACGAAAAAGTATATGAAACACGAATAAAACCAACCACTGCATTAAATCTAATATTCCATCATGAACAACGATTTCTTACTACGACTGATGAAATTCTTGATCAAGTACTCGGTGGTGGAATATTATCACGCGGGATAACAGAGATTGTAGGTGAGAGGTAATTCAAAATTTAGCTGAATCTTTAATGGCCAAGAAAAAAAAATTTGAATACATATCTGACAAGTTAGCAAAAAAACAAAAATGTAGTGCAGTCGGTAAAACACAGTTATGCTTGCAATTGTGCTTGGCTGTTCAATTACCAAAGGAATTAGGTGGTTTAGGAGGAGGTACAAAATGTGGTCGAAATTGTTTCTTATTTGTATACGCATTGCCAAGTCTCTTTGCTCACATTCCTTTATGTTAATCATAAGGTGCAGTATACCTACATAGTGATGGCGTTTTTCCTGCACGGCGTTTCTACCAATTAATCGATAGATTTAGTCGAGAATATGAGTTGCAGAGTGGCCATGATCTTGGTGAGAACGTTTATTGCGCAACGCTGCTGGATCTTAAAACCCAGTCTGATATGATCAATTATCAATTACCACACCTACTCAAATTCAATAATATTCGACTGGTGGTCATTGATTCAATCTCATCAAATCTTCGTGGAGAATCCAATAATCCTTCAGGCCTGCATCAACGCGCAAAGTATATTTGCAAGCTAGGGAGGAAACTGAAAGAACTGAGCGATCAATTTCATGTGCCTATCTTGTGTGTGAATGAAGTCTCTGATTATATATCAAATTCGATGTTAACTTCTAGAGAAAATTTCTGGGAACTTGAATATCAGCAGAGAAAATTTGCTGTGACTACTAGTGATATTACTAATAGTAATGTTAATTTTATTGTTCACAAGAATTATGATGGAACAAAAATCCCTACACTTGGACTGGTATGGTCAAATACAATTAATGTCAGGATAATATTGACGAGACCAGAAAGAAGAACAAGAAGCAATAGTCGAGCTATTTTGCGTCGCAAGATTTCAATTCTATTCTCACCATATGCGCCACAAAATTCCGGTGAATATTATATCGACGAGAATGGCATACATGGAGTAAGATCTAATGATCAAATGAATTTGATATAGACCATGTATCTCTTTGATAAGTAACAGAAATTGTGGTTCAAAAATTTTCATTTTAATATTGACAGAAAAATTAATACAATAAATATAAATGCATATGGTTGGATTATTCGTTACATATGTACATCTTTGGGTTTTAATTGTCAAATTTTTAGGATAATTATTTGAAAGTCATGATAATTTTTGAATCATCTGTATTGGTTATATTAATATATTTTGTGAGTTAGACACAAGGTAAATAAATAAAATTTGATTAGCTAAAGGTTCGATTGTCCATTTTTAAAGTGAAAACGTAATTAAATATTAAGAAAAAAAGTTGACTATTATAATATATGATTAAAAAATACAATAACGGAAACACCAAATCTAGTCTCTCATAGCTCCGACCTTTTATTATTATTATTATTCTGATTTGCAAAGGGACACACTAGATCCGAAATTTGCCGGCTGATTGTTGGCTTAAATATCCAACTAATGCCCCACGGATATAATGTGATATCAGCACGAATATTCAAGGTGTTGGCTTTGGCTCCTTGTTGTGGTAGACATGCCAATAAGAAATCTTGGACAGTGGGATCATTTATATCTTTACCAATGTAATCTACCGTGAGGGGAAATTGTAGAATTGTTGTTTGACGTGGTGGTAATGCATAATTTGTAAGATTGCCATATGCTATTGGATGATCATAGGTAGAAATGGTACTTAAATCAAAGACCTAATAATACCAAATGATTAAAAACATTTCGATTAGTGATCATTTTATTTATAATACGCGATTAAGAAGAATTATCTAACGAACCTGCGCATCAATTCTATTAAATCTTATTGGAATCCAATTGTCTGGATTGTCTATTTCAATACTAATGTTGAAGTCCATTTTGACAATTGGAGGACTAACACTAATTGTTGGTTGTCCATTAGAAGACGCGCCTAAAATTTTAACATCAGGAATACGTGGCCACACAAAGAATAATGTAATTCCCAAGGCCAAGAGAACAAAGAAAGTAATAAAGACACAGGTTCGCCTAGAACAACAGCAACAACTCTTTCGCTTTTTCGGTTTAGCGAGAGATTCAGGATTGACTTGATTGGAGTTTGTTTTGATAATTCCGCCTTGTCCTCCCGAATCCAAATTGCTTGATGCGCTATATAAAGGATCACGCAAATCTTTATCATTCAAACCTGATGAACTCATCCGCGTAGTAGCATGACGTTCATCGAAATCATCGGGCGAATGACGAACGTTGTTAAAATCATTATAAACATCAAATGAACCTCGTGGTTGTTCACCACCACCACCACCACCACCACCGCCGCCGCCACCACCATAATAATACTGGCTATTATTATTATTGTTGTTGTTGTTATTATAATAATTGCCATAATATTCATTTCCTGGGGTATCTCTACGATAATTACCATATTGATCTACTTGGCTACCTGTTCTATATTGACCTGCTGCCTGAACACTATTTCTTGACTGGGAAGCATCATAATTATAATTTGAAGCTGATTTATAATCGGGAACTTGTTGACCTGCACCACCACCACCACCAGATGCGTATCTATCTCTCTCCATCTCTTGCTCCCTCTCTAATGGTCCCTGCTGATAATATGACGGTATTGTGTCCTGTTGTGGTGAGTATCCATCCGTAGGACTTGGTTGTGAATATTCTGAGGAACCTACAGATCCTCCTGTGTATCGGGTATTATTCCTCGAGACTTTTGATTGTGAATCTCGATGAGAACCTGTGTGTGGATATGGTCAAAAAATTAGATTGTAACTTGATTTGTCCAAAAACTCGAAATTTAATTGAATTTGCCCGGGTCGATTTTGCTGATATTTAATAAACATGCGTATTTAGTTCCCCTCATGCCGCTCAAAAACACAACAGCACGTTATCTAAAATTACTAGAACTACTCAACCTAACCCTCATTGAATGAAGCACTCAACATACCTCTTCCTATATGCGACATTGTAAAAAAGGTTTAATAGCAAACAAAACGTACATAGATTTTATAAAACTCGATTCTATATAAATGTTTGAGAATGGTTATTCTATATATGTATTTCTCGTAACACATAACCAATGAATAAATGCCATATATAAACGTAGATATACACATGTAAGATCTCTACATAAAATGTCACTATTATGGAATTATAACATCGCTCATTCGTCATGGAGGCTTAATAATAAGGCTTAGCCAAATGAGTCCGAAAAGGTTAAAATGCAAACAACACACTATAAACACTAAATATATCAACAAATAATAAATACCCTACCATACAATCGAATCACAAGCAAAAGCGAAACAGGGGTCCAAAGGAAGATTTATACTCAAATGATATCCGTTTGATCAACCACATAATATGGCTCTTTCTTTTCCTTTGCTGTTTAATGATTTAATAGACACAGCCAAGACTTGTATGGTATCAAGAAAAATGGAATAAAGCAAAATTTATTTGTTACACTAAATTTGGGAATCATGTTAGTTATGTGAGAGCAATTCGCGACGATTTCTCAATAGAAATAAAGTTTTGAAAAATCTACACGGAATCTCGATTGATGTGTAAATAAATACAGAGGTGAGATAGTTGTGCTCTATGAAATATCTTTATCCGGACTCAGATTAATATGTAGACTTGGTTTGCTTACTTGATTTAAAGTTTCATATTTCCTGAGGAGATGAACGATTGCTACTTAGCATAAATTAGAAACAAGATTTGGATTCAAATCGATTCTTTTATTATCACTTTTTATTAATGAAATAAATTTTCTTTCATCATTTTGATTGACGATGCCTATTAATTAATGTGTAGGGATCAAATTTTTGCTGAACAATGATTTTTATTTTAATGTTTTAATTAATAAATCAATATCAATATTTATACTATATATGGGACATGCTGCAACAAAACCAGACAAAGTGAACATTTAACATCACTCATAATTATTTAACATTCTTTTTTTCAGCACTAAAAATACCGTCAATGCCGTTACTGTCATAGTTACCAACACAGTAGGAATCAAT